TGTATGTATTTATTAAATCTGTATACTGCCAACATCACAAGACTTGGTGGCTCATGAGACAAAAGAAATATAATAAAAATACAAAATAGCCCATTTGAATTAGTGATTAAGGCACCAGAAACCAGGCTATGAATTCTAGTCCCATTTTAGGTAAAGTCAGCTGGGTGACTGGACCAGTCATTCTCTCTTAGCCCAACTCACCCCACAGGATTGTCATAGGGAAAATAGGAGGAGGAGGAAGGAGCATTAGTATCTTTGCTACTTTTAGTAATTTATACAAATACTAAAAATGGGGAAATATTTAAAAATAATAAAGCAACTTATAAATAAGGCAAACAAAGCCCAGCACAATACAGAGTGAGCCTTGGCAATCTTCTGGAAACAGTGTAGTCTTTTTCTGGAAAACAAACAAATGAACCTCCAACAGGAAGTCATTCCAGAGGCCAGGTGCCTTAACAAAAAATAGTGCCCCTCATGATCTGGAATTGGGGCACAATTCCAGCAGGATCAAAAATCATCAGGCCAATTCTAATGGGGAGATGCAGGAAACCAGGTTCTAATCTAAACCATAAAGAGTTTTATAGTTTTAGACCAGCTTTTAAAATTGCACTCAGGAGCTAATAAGCAGCCATTGCAGGGCTAGATAATGGGTATAATATGTGTCCAACAGTCCTTAGCCAAGAAAATACCCTGTTCCACTGCTTTGTGCACCAACTGAAGTTTCCTGGTGGTCTTTAAAGGCAGCCTCATATAGGAGTTGCAATAATCTAACTGTTTACAATAAGGGCATGAAGCACTGTAGCCAGGTCCTCTGTCCCATAATAAATCTGTCAAGATTCATTGAAGAAGCTTATACAGAAATTGCTGCATCACACTACATGGTTTCAGAATTATGCAGTGACAAATGAGACTGGCTCTTTTCATGACACTGTGCCAAATATGACCAATATCTGTGAGATCTGTTAGGAGACAAAATATTAATTGTGCTGAAAGTATATGGCAGACGATGTTACTCATCACAGTTTGTTCCTTCATATTATAAGTGGGTGAAATAATACATCTGTTGTCTTTGGCCATGATAAAGGTAGCAGTCTATAAATGTTCAATGTGACAGAGGAGTTTAGATTATCTAGAAAATAAATGATAAGAAATGAACTAAAGCAAAATCCATGAAGGATTATGGTTATTCATCAATGAAAAAGTGGATAAACCCTTGCCTAATATAACCTACAGTAAAAGGATGTTGTATTTTTCTTTTACAAAAGCTGAAAGATTTTAGAATATTTCTAGTATTTTCATTGTAATTATATAGTTGGTGGCTCAGTTTTCTTTTACAATTAATCCAGGGAGTTTCTTAATAGCTGTAAACCATATTATTTTGAATGAATTATCTTTTAGTATCTGAGGCAGAGCACATTTCATGGGAGAAAGATGCAGCAAAAAATGTAGCTTTGAGTTGGAATGGAGTTGCTGCCTTAGTTGCCTTCTGGCAGATTGTTCCTGTTATGCATAATCATTTTTCTTCTTTCACCAGTTTTTTTAGTATATAAATATTGTACTATTATGGAAGTAATGTACATTTCCAATTGTTTCTCATCCAAAATGCCATGTAATATGGCAATACAGTGAAATATCTCACTTTTCTGGATAGGGGAAGAACAGATTTTGGGATATCCTACAAATATATAAAAGTTGTGGTGGAATATTCAAAATGTAGTTTCATATAGTTTTTCCTGAAGCAGCATTCTTCATAATATAATTGTATCAAATTTGAATACCGAACATTCAGGTTCAGAAAGTCATTCTTTATATCCTTAATACTTTACATTTTTAACATTCTTGTGGTAAGAAATGTGAAGAAAGGCAATGTTGTTGAGCCTCATGAAATTGTACTATACCAACCATACCTAAAGATCACATGCGGTTCTAATATTTTTAATGCATGCTATTCTATTAGAAATACGTGTTGTTATTTAAAAGATTGGAAAATAATGCCTCTTATTTTCATGTCAAATTTAACTCTTTTCTCTTGCAGTATAACTTTATTTGGTTTATTTGAAAGGGCTTCCGCGTCCAATGGCCTGCAGGCTAGTTGGAGGTCACATTCGTGTAGATTAGACATCAATTTTATCCAACGAGTTCGCTCCTAGTTTAAACTCTCCCACTAGCGGCCCGAGCCTGGCCGGAACGCATCACTGCCCGAATTCGGCGGACCTCTCAAGCGCGAGACTCGGGGAGAAGGGGGCGGGAGGTGGTGGAAGGAGGGAAGAGAGTCCCCACCTGCCAACAACGGAGGCTTTTATCCCAGCTATGATTGCCATGTAAACCAAAGCCCGCCCACTTTGGTTCGGGCGGTCGCAGGCAGAGTTGCGCCCCGCCCCCGCGCGGCTCGTGCGCGTTGACGCGCGCGTGACGCAGATGGCAGGCGTGCCGGCGGTGACTTGGGGCCCCTCCCCCAGAAGATGGCGAGTCCGTGCAGGCGGCAGAAGTGCTCCATCGAGAGGCGCGGCTTCCGCCACCAGCTCGACTCGTGGCGACACCGGCTGCTCCGCTGTGTGGGTGAGGGACCGAGGGGGGGAGGCGAGGAGACTCTCTGGGAGGAGGGGAGGCTGACCGCTGTTTGACCCTCCCCCTCCCCCTTTCCCTTCCCTTGCAGCGAGGGGACAGCGCGCCGCACCCTTTCCCCCCCCCACTCCCTCCCACCTGCTCAGCCGCTCTCCGGATGGCCCTGCACGCGCCCGTCCGCCCGCGCGGATCGGTTGCTTCTCGCGCTCTCTCTCCACCCCTCCCCCCATTTGCGCCTCACGGAGCAACCGCGGCCTAGGCTCCGCCCCGCCCACTCCGGCCTGGCCTCCCGCCCCTTTGGGGGAGAGGAAGAGGGCCCTTTGTTTGGGGGAAGGGGTTAGGCCGGTCTGTATCCGCCGGAACGGGTGAAGGAAGGAAGTGTTTAGAATAGCCCTCGCCGAGCGAGGCACATCCGCGATGAGAAGCTGAGCGACTTAGAGAAAGTTGCCCTTGGTGGGGGATGATCGTGGAGACGAATCGTTCCGGGTGACCACGCCCCTCTCCTATTCCCCAGATTTTAACGAGCGGGTCGCCATGGCCACCCCTTCTCCCCCCCCCCATCCCGCTTGCTCCTACCCTTTTGACAGTCGAATTATAATCCGTTATTGAGTAGTAGCCTGGTTTTAGCACTAGTTTAGACACGCGCGCTAACTTATTTTGGGGAGTGGTAAGGTCGAAAGATAATGGTCCTTAACTCACATTTCGAATATCTAAATTAGATTTTGGTCAAAAAATAGATACTGCGGCTTAAGCTATTTTTAAAGGAAATACTGATTTGAAAGTTGGTACTGTACATGGCTTTCCTCCCCCCCCCAAAAGGTGGCTGTTATTGCAATCATAATTAGCTGTTAGAGATAAAACAAAGATGAAGGTGAAGGATGCGCTAATTTAGGAAACAAGGCTTACTATCTGATTGAATTTCAAAATGTATCAACAATATAGGCGCCTTTCAGTAATTAACAATGCCTCCAATCCTGTACAAGTCCGTTCAGCACTAAGCCAGGCTGAGTTCAGTGAGTCTTTTTCCAAGGTAAATTAGTACAGGATTATATCCTAAACATCTTTTTTTAATTCATGCTGCATATATTCTCTTCATTTTCTTGAAGAGTAATGTGTTTTTCTTCAGGTTAAGACAATACTGTTATTAACTCAGTACTTCTGAGTTCTAAGTTTACAATGTAATCTTTTGCATGCTTATTGGAAGTACATTCACTGTTTTAGAGACATTATTGCCAAGTAAGTGTATCTTAGAATTCAAGCATACTGGTATATTGTTTAATGAGCAGGAGTAGTAAAACTAAGATCTTGTTTCTTAAATAGCAAAGGAAGCATGCTGGAATATGTTTACTGTGATCATAAAAATATTTACTGCTGTTTTACTTTGAAACCCCCAAATTTTAGCACAAGCATAATTCAGTTTAATAATCATGATCTTCAGTTGTGATATATTTATTAATCCTTAACCATATACTTAATTTTTAAAAAACAAAATATTGATTATTTGAATTCAAAACATGAAATAATTGCTTTTTGTTCCACTAGCATATTGCTCAGTAAACTATTTTGGTTAATTTACCAAAAATAGCCCATGGTTTGTAAGAATATATTGTCGGCTGTGAGCATATCTGACTAAGGTTATGTCATAAAAGTAATGTAGTTATTTTTTAATGTAAAAATATTTTATGTATATATTTTAGTGCTGCTTTTAAAAAAAACCTGAAGAATGTAATGTATTTAACACATTTCTTTTAAGGAAACTCAGATTTTATACAGATTAGTCTCTGATTACTAGGATCTTACTAGGAGATTAATCATTTTGCTGCTATCTATATCACTTGATTTAACACTCACTTTATTCTCTTATTTCATCTATTTTCGCAAATTCTTTGGGGTTCCTCATTGTGATTTTCTCCAGATGTACTGAATATAGATCTTATCTTCAGCCTGTATTGCCCTTATTTTGTAATCCAGCACATTTGTAGGGCAAATAGTTGAAAGGTTTAAACTGACTTTCTGGATGTATTGATAATAGTCTCTTATTCAAATAGAATTATTAAAATCAGTTGTAGGATCAAAGGAAGGACAGCTATAAAGCAGTTTGGGTAATTTTACCAGTCAATTTCTGAGCAGATGGTAACATCTAGCTGACCTTATTTAGGCTCAGAAGCTGACCACCAGGGATTTCCAGACTGTAGGCTAGACTTGGAAATCAAAACACTACCCCAGATTGGCAGCTCCATATTGCTGCCACGAAAATTACATGGATGGTATCCATGAAGTCTCCAGAAGCTGAACTTGACTTGGAGATTATTATTATTTTTCTTTTAGGAACCTAATGTACTCTGGGGAAAAATATTATCTATGCTAAATGCTTCACTCCTTTTCCTCTTGCCTTCTTTGCAGCCCCAGTTTCCATTTGGGTGTACTTTCCCCCTCTTGTGTAAACAAAAGATATGAAGGAAATGACTAAACTGTGAAGGTTAATCACCTAGTCATCCAGATTATTTTTGGAGGTAAAGTACAAAAACATTTTAGACAGTCCAAAGTATAATTATGTTAGTGATATTTTATCTTGATAGTATTGTACCTAATAGTTTGAACTTCACATTGATCCATTTTATGAGGTGGTGTTTACTTCATGTATCTGCTCTCATAAAATTACTTGAATATATTAAGGTATTTTCTGATCCTTATTTCATAAAAGTGAAACAATAGTATATATCATTTCATTTTCATTTCTGAGAAAGGAAAGCTTGATAGTATAGAATACTATCTGTTCTGTTTGCATAGTTGATCTTAGGTAGCAGAACTGAAAAAGAAATCTTGTTACTTCAGAGGCTAGGTTCCACACAATTAGTTTACATATTGTACAAGGCAGGTAATTTAGCCTTTTTAAGGTAACAAGTAGGGGAAATAGAAGGAAGATGGCATGTTTAAATTGAAGTGATATAAAATCATTAAAATAAGATGATTAATCTTGTGTGCTCTGAAATATATAAAGGTATACTACATATTTTAAACATTACTTGTATGCTTTGATTTGAGATACAGATATAGCTCTTAAATAAGATATTACTTGTTTAGAAATGAGTTATTCTACTTTTATCAAGATACATTTGGAGTAAAAACTGTTTGCTGTTTAGAAACTAGAAATAAGTATTATCATTTCCTTAATATTTGTCTGTATGTCAGGACTTCAAATAGAAATGAGGATTTGCAAATAAAAAACAAGTTATCAAAATCTATCTTTTATAATATAATGAAAGGAATATGATTGGTACCAATAAGATTGTATGTTATTGTTTTTGATTTGCATGTTGCATACTGACTTCACCTGATCAGGTGAAATAAGAACTATTGCAATGGAATAACTCAGAATTTTGTTAATTTTAAAATGTTGGCATGAATATTATAACAAATGAGAAAATAATTATTTAGTTTCAGATAAAATATGCCATTTATACACATTGGAATGCAGGGAATAAATTTTCATAAACTTTTTCATGAACTTTCATAAGTTCTTTTTCATGGAAAAAAACCCATTATAGTTAGTATGCTAACTTATAAATAGCTATTCTACCAGGAGAATTTTAGAATTTATTTGAGATAACTTTCTAGGGTAAATATTATATTTAGAAATATTTTCTAAATATTTCTAATGAATATTTTCATTCAGTCATTTGGCACTTAGTGACCATCTCTTTCTGAATCCTTAATAAATACCCATTATTGTACATTTAATACTTAATTTTTCTGATTATCCTGTTTTCAGATATTGGAGCTCATCTTGAGCTTTTTTTCATCTCTTGCAGCTCTACTGTTCAAACATGTAGTCATTTTTGTCAAGTGAAGAAAAAATGCCTGATATTGTATATATGTTTTTTAATGTACATAAAGCAGTTTACCAGATTTGAGTTTCAGACTTTGAAACCACAAGTTGAAAATCTATAATTGTGATAATGTATCTTGTTATATAGATTAAATGTATAATCTCAGAAACATAATTGAATTTGTAACTGAATATTTTAGTCTTTTGCTTATAAGTATAATTTTATCATATTTATAGGTAATGTAGCAGAAGTTGAAAGAGCTGGCACTTTCTGATTTGGAAAAGAATACTGATGAAACAAATCCTGTCTTCAGAGAAAAGTATTCAGTATTATACAGGACAGATGAAGTTCAGGAAAGGCCTCTGGCAAAAGAGTGACAATGAGGTTAAGGTTAAGCGCCCTATGTTCCTTTGCCAGGCATCTGGTAGTACTGTGTTGGTAAACACACAACTAGGAAGGTACATAAAAATGTCAAAGTTATTAATTTGTTGTGCATTGTTTAGCTAGCAAATCTCTGAAAGTCGTAAAAATAGAATAAAGGAAGTGCAGCAAAATCTCAGAAATTGAGCATAAATGTATGTTTACATTAGACTCCCTCAAGATTGCATACACTGATAAACGTATTTGACAAAAGAGTATTTTATTGCAATTATCCAAGGTTGTATCTCCATGATTATTTATTAAAAATGAGACATTAGGCAAATAATTAGATTAGGAAAAAAGGTAATTTTTGCAGAAACTGTTTCAGCTATTTAAGAATGAAAGTCATTTCCTCTTTTACATCTGGTAAGCAATTTTATAAACCTTGTGGTAGAACTGTATTAAGATTTGATTATAAAAGACTGTTGTGCTGATCTACTTTGTAATTTTAAAATTTTTATTGTAGTCTGTTCTAATGGGAGACATGTCTTAGTAAAAAAAAAGTCTTTTTCACCTGGAATAATTTACAGAAAAACACTATATGGTGACTCTAAGACCTCAAGAGAGATATTTCAGAGAGTTGACTGTGGACTTTAGAAACATTAAATATATCTTATAACTGAGAAGGAAATGACTTAAAAAAGCTATATTCTGAGATTTTTTTTAGTAATAAAGAAATAGCTTAGAGCAGTGGTTCTCAACCTTCCCAATGCCGCGACCCTTTAATACAGTTCCTCATTTTGTGGTGACCACCAACCATAAAATTATTTTCGTTGCTACTATGTAACTGTAATTTTGCTACTGTT